GGCTAACTGATTTTTTGGCTCTTTCCGTAGCAGTAACTAAGATGTGAATTTTGAAAACATTTCTATTTGGCACACTGAATGAATTTTCTTACAAATTCCTTTATGATTATTTGGGGAATAGTATGATTATACAAGCTCATTTATCATAAAGTTGGAACAAAACACATCCGAGAAAATTCGAATTTGGCTATTATTAACGAGGATGAAGATTGTCAGTCTCATCTGCCAGCAGTAATCGATGTACTGTCCTCTCGACGCTGGATTCTATTCCTGATTCAAATCGAGTTCCCATTCGAAAGAGAGGGTATCAGGCCATATTGTATAATATACAGGTCAGACAGGAAAATAGAAAAGAGGTTCTGACGTTAGTGACCTGTATTGACTTCTTCTAGAACTTGTCAGGTGAACTCAGATGGACGCACCAGCGTTGGAGAGTGGACTTGGTACATTCCTAGACATAGGAGTCTGCATCGTCAATAAGTTCTGCCAGTCTCAGCAACAAGCTATAATTCGTCAAAAAGACAAGTGAAGTCAATCCCTTGATAAACTTTCTGCCAAGCGGTTATGCAATTCTCTTTCTGTTGTGGCTCCTCTATCTACTCCCTCTTATCGCACTCTAACACAATCACACCTTCTAGCTTGCTTATGTTCCACTCCTCAAAAGGTGTTCGTCATCACCCATACTATTACTTTGCCCCCTCCCTATTGCGTCTCCAAACCGGATCTACCTCATGGGCCCGTAGATCTTTTTTTTACTTTCCAGTTGACTGATTTCACTTGGTTCCAGTGCAAGTATGCGTTCCCTTTCAGAGCTATTTTTCAAGCCTTCAGTAGCATGTACATAATCGTCTCACCGTACAAAGCGCATAGGCCCTGGTTACCATGCTTGTAGATATCATTCATTGTCTCCAAGGTTCCGCTCCTTGATTCAATCCGTGTTCCCTGAGCAAATTGTGGATATTTATATCTGGTCGCCTGCTACTTCTTGAGTGATTTCTAGTCAATTTGGCCATACTTACGAATTTCTGTGAAGGTTGTGAGTATAAGTCTCACTAGTCCTGTGACTGCTATGCCCCTAAAGTTTGAGTTGTTTGTTCGAGCAGACTACACTCATTGAAATCATCTTCTCTTTATTTTTTAAAGTCCCATATTTGCTTCTTCCTTGCGATGCCTGTTCCTTGGGCTAACGATAGGTCTTTGATCCAGGCGTCTCTTTTTGCTTGCCTTGTTCTAGCCTTGTTTTCTCCTAGTTTTCTTAGACAATAGGCAAGATTGCAGCTGGCTTTGCCCTTTTTCCATCTCCTGTTAATAATATTTCTTTCCGCAAGGGTTTCAATGGTCTACATAATCCAATGGCATCCAAATAAGACGCCCTGACAACAAGAACAAGTTGAAAAAACGAGGCCAGCCCAATTTTATACATCGAAAGGAGACTGCAACACAACCAAAATCAACACCATCTGGGACTTCATGTTTTGGCAGGTGAACTTCCTCCGCTCCTTAGTAGTCATCATGTGCTCATAGTGGGTCTGACTGGGGATATGCTCAACTGGTTGCAGCCCTGAAGCTATTTGGGACGTGAAGTAAAGGAGTTTGGGCACATGCTTGTCTTGGCTGTCGAATTCATCTTCGTTCATGTCAATTTGTCATGCTTTCGGTATAATTAGGTTTCGAGATTAACGATTATTCTCAACTAAAAACTTGATCACTCTGAGTTGCGTAGGGTGGTATAAGGACTGATAAATTGTGACGTGACTTTTCATTTAGAAAGAACAGTTGCCTCGAAGGAACTCGTCATGTGGTCTCACCGGAAACGAATGGAGGATTGCGTTATAGTGAAGAGTGTTGTATTCTACGAAGAGGTCTTCGGCTCACCATCCTGCGATCCTGATGAACCTACGCAAAACTTTTGTCCGTACTGGAACAGACAGCATCAGAGTCTTTGAAATAGAAAATTGTGTCAGAGTATATCATTAAGGAATTTTTTGAAACCCACTTTTTCTTCATAACTAAAATCATATTTATCTTTTTTTGATAAACGAGTTGGATTTAATTGTATCTTCACTTTTTAAAAAGTTAAGACTTGGTTTGACCTCGTTGCCCTAATAGGGTCATGCTTTGGGCGAGACTTGGAAAAACCCAGCCAGTGCTGCGTTCTTTGCTAATGTTGTCTTGTCTTCTTCCTTCGTCAGACCCTCCGTTGTGTACATATCTAGATGTTTAACTGGCATTTTCGCTGAGAAGTCATCTTTAGCCCATATTTACAAAGTGATAATATGTAGTTAATAGGTGGTTTTGTGTTGGATTAACGCATTTCTCCGAAATCGCCATTACAGCACAACCAAGCCGGGTAAAAGAGCTCAATTCAATTCTACATAACGAAGGTGATTGTGAACGAAGTAAAAGCCACGATATCCTGATTTGCATATCTTCAACCTGAAAAGTGTGATTCTTAAGCCAAATCCTGCTTTTACTTTGAGTTTTAGTTAAAATAATTTCATTAAAATGAAAAGGGTAAGTTGCACTTTGCTGCATGTGAAATTTATTCAAGGCAGTATGGCTCATTTGCTGCCCGACCTAATATATCATTCAAATTTTTCTCCTACCTCCCATATCGCATTTTCCAATGCTGAACTTTTTTGTATATCTTCAAACTCGTGTTAATTAAGTCTGAGAAGGCCCCTATGAAAGTCGTTCATCCTCATCTCTTACAGTATGGTTAGATCATCCTATTTTAGCGAAATTGTAAATTTAAGGTCTTTTTTCAGTTTTTACACTTTTTACCCATAAGTTGTCAAATCATAAAATTATACAGCAGCTGCGACCGCATTTTTGCATAAGTTACTCAGCTTACTTTGTGGGCTAGCTTGCAAAGACACTTTTAGCTTAATTTAATACTATGTCTTCGTAGTCTTTTACTTGACTTTCGCAGCAATATATACCAAAGTTTACTCTGTCTTTATTCCTGCATTCACTCTACGATCATAAGCTAAGCAGCATATTTTAATAGTCGAGCTCTCAGAAGGTATCTACTCATTAAATTATGGCCCTAAATAACGAGATATTACCTCTGGCATTGGCCTAACCTTAAATGATTTCATCTCTTATATTAACATATTAGTTCGATATCTTGTGGATAGGAGGATATGAGGTAACTCTATTTTGATAACTTGTGCTACATGCCGCCATATCAAATGGGTTAGTTCATTTTGCTAGCCAAAGACTCTCCAGGCAAAATAATTCTTCCATATATACTTACTTATACATATACAATAAATAAATACAGTAAAAATATATTTTTAAACATAATTTGTATATAATACCTTGCTGAGCCTGTGCAACTGGATGCATGTCAGACAATAAAGCATTCGTTAATAGGGGACATATATTATCCATTAGGAAAATTAAAACTGGCGAGTAGTAGCTGATGCTGAGAAATGTATTGTTCCTTGTCATGGCGCCATCAGCGAAGCACATATAATTGAGGCTTCGGTGAAATTGCCTTGTGCTTTTCACAATAATTCGTGAGGTCTCGTTGAGAAATTGCCTCACGAAAGGAGATATTATCCATATCCCATCTAAACTGAATGTGCATGCGATAAAGTTAACTTAAAAGCAATAACTATAATAAATTGGACTAGCATTGAAATCTAACAAAAGATTGCAGTGAAATAAAGTTTCCTCTCCTGAATGGATAGTACCTGGGTATACAGCGGTTGAGCCCATCTTGATGCCAGTTCTTTTCTCAAGATCGTCTCCGGTCCGAAAGGAGTGAGGAGAATGCTTGCGGCTAGAACTAGGATCGAGCCAGTAGACGCAAGTGTACTCAGTTAGCCGGTTGGCGCAATAAGTGAGCAGGTCTCTTTCGAATTGGCCTTGTCGGAGGAACTCAAGTAAAGTGATGTTCAGGTAAGCTGGCTTCATGGTCCACTCAACATCTTTTGAGTGGCTTCCTCCGCCCGCCTTGCTGCGAGCCGATCCGCGACCCATCTTGCCTCCAGAAGGGCTTGGATTAGAGTAGGCAAGCTCACAGACCAAGTGGATGGTCTAACTCACAGGCTCTGGAACTGGCGGTGGTGTGGCCGAATTGCTGAACAGCATTATCATGTTTCACTCATCTTGAAAATCAATGGCCGATTCTACCTTTGAGAGCCGAGGCTATAGTATTGTAGACTCGGAGGCTGGGGAAATGGAGTTTAGAAATCCCGTTCAAATGTTTGCTCTACATATTAGTACATAATATACAAACTCTTCTACGAGCAAGTAGGTCAAGGATCTCATATGCACTCGGCATATAAGATCACATTGAGGAAACACTGGTAGCTAAAGATGTGTGGATTAGCCAAAAAAGAAATCCTTAGGATCCACATAGATCATGAAGATGGATAAAAGGTAAACCACATTACG